ATTCAAGAAATAGTTTTCCACTATTATTGATTTTATCCTGTGCGTATGGTCCTACGACAGAGTTCCATTTTTGGCATAGGCGCAAAATGTCACCTGTCAAAATGTTTAATGTGTTTTAAATGTATTTTTTTTTTTTCGAATCCTGAGAAAACTAATAAGTATTTTTGAAAAATTTAAACGCAGAATGGAAGATTGCATTATTACCGAAGGGCGAAAGCCCCTTAGAATAATCAAAAAGTTTCTTTTGAATGAGATATTTGAAATTAAAATTCACACTAAATTTTCTCATTTTTTTTTCACCCCTGTAACTTAATAAACTATTATTATTCACTTAATATACTGATACAAAGATGCCTGGACGTCAATCAAAATATATACGCATGTTTTATTGACTATAATAAAGCATTCGATAAAGTACGACATAAACAATTAGAATGTTCTGAAATCAAAGAAGATTTCGTTTGACTACAACGACCTAAGGATCATATCAAATTTATACTATAAACAGCGAGCAAAAGTACGTGTTAACGAACAGTTGTCAGAAGAAATTGAAATTAGATGTGGAATGAGACAGGGATGCGTATTGTCGCCAATTCTTTTTAATGCCTATTCCGAAGAGATCCTGAAAAAAGCTCTTGAGGGTGAAACAGCTGGAATAAAGGTAAATGGATTTCCCATTAACATTAGATATGCGGACGACACTGTGATCATAGCCGAAAACATTGAAGATCATCAGAGAATGGTGACCAGAATAGCTGAGTATGGAAAAGGGTACGGTCTGACAATGAACGTCAAGAAGACGAAATTTATGAGAATAACGAAAACTCAAAGAAATAACGAGAATTTTCTAATAAACGGAACCAACGTCGTCATATGCATATTTGGGAACAATGATTAACTCCACAAATGATTACACTCAGGAGATCAAAATAAGAGTAGAAAAAGCTATAGCAAATTTCAACAAAATGAGAAGAGTGCTATGTACCAGGGATTCAAAACTGGAACAAAGAATTAGGTTGGCGAGGTGCTATGTTTTTTCGACTTTATTTTATGGAATGGAATCTTGGACCTTGAATGCGATATCAATGAAAAAACTGGAATCATTCGAGCTGTGGGTGTACAGAAGGATTCTGAAATATCGTGGACAGAACACGTCACAAACAAAGAGGTCCTGGGAAGGATGAATAAAGAAATGGAAATTTTAAATACAATAAAAACAAGAAAATTAGAATATCTCGGACATATTACACGTGGAGAGAAATACACCTTGCTGTACCTGATTATGTAGGGAAAGATACAGGGAAAGAGAAGCATAGGGAGGCGTAGAATGTCATAGCTGAGCAACCTGAGAGAATGGTACGGATGTACATCAAATGAACTTTTCAGAGCAGCCGTCTCGAAAATCCGAATAGCTATGATGATTGCCGACCTCCGCCGCGGAGATGGCACTTGAAGAAGAACTTATTAAAAATAAATATAGAAAATTTCAAGAACTTTCGGCCTTCGGGAATAACGTTATATTTCATTCTGCGTTAAAATTTTTCAAATATAGCAACATTCGACAGCGATTTCATTTTGACAAGCGACATTTTGCGCCTATGCCCAATAAGAATAAGAATTTTAAGCAATAAAACAAATTTTAATGGAAGAAGGAACGGTTTACTATAAATTTCGTGAGACTGGTTTCTAATTGTATAGATTTCACACATTTACGCCCGGTTTCATAATCAACTTAAAGTGAGCATTAACTAAAGTTCACTTTAACGTTGACATTTACCCATATGAATTGCATTGACAAGGGTACCAACTTAAAAGTCCACTTTAACTGATTATGAAACCGGGCGTTAATGAATATGAGGAGGTGTCAATCAAAATCAATCATGTCCATAAAAATCAAAAAATGAGTTAGCAGCTGTTTCATAATATAAAGCGTGAATCCTATTCTATGGTTTTTTCGGTTTCGGTTAAAAAAAATCATGTCCTGTTTAAAATGAATACACAATATTAGGTTCCCAAATCAAACGAAATCATGTCCACAGTTGGTTTCAATCATACCACCACTCAGCTAATAGGAGTGCCCCGATTTGGTCACGTGATTTGACCATATCAACACATTGTCTGTGTTTTCCCTCTAGGTTATGTCGATAGCGAGTATTGAGTTTGTATTGCACTGTGGTTTAATTTTAATATTATTATAGTAGTTTTTATTAAATAAAATTGAAATTTTCCATGGATGAAGAAAACTTAGTGAGAGTGGGCGATGCCAATGAAGGATCTCGTAAAAATAAAAAGACTGTGGATAAAAAAACTAGAGCCAAGCATAAGCGATACAGTACTCCAGTGGGATGTCGTGTGTTTGTTCCATGTAAACACATGAACAAAGGTATGAAATGTGCATTAGTTAGGCCTATAGATGCTATTTTTGTTCGAAATATCCTCTACAAAATACCTGACAAAAACACGCAAGATAACACCATTGCCAGTTGGATAAATCAACGTAACATAAAGCGGCGAAGGCCTAGGCCTACCTCTGAAAAATCAAAGGCTAAAGTTTTTAGTGTACAATATTCTATACTTTCATCAACCGGTAAAGTTATACCTGTGTGTAGGAAACTTTTCATGCATACTACCATGGTGAAGGGAACAAAATTGACTAATATTTCTAAAAAGGTGAAAAAGGGAAAGGCTGTTAAGGATGAGAGGGGTGGCGATAGGAAGAGTCACAAATCTGCTGCGAACAAGGAATCAGTCCGCCTTTTTTTGAGAAATTTAAGAGGAAAAGAAAGCCACTATAATCGAAAAAAATCGAAAACGATTTATCTTGGTGCAGACTTAAACATTAAGAAGTTGTGGCTAATATACAATGATTCTGTACTTGATAATATTAAAGTTAAGAAATCTATGTTTAGGAGAGTTTTCAATGAATTAAATATCGGATTTTCATCACCAGCTTCTGACGTTTGCAGTACATGCAATAAAATAGATCTTCAGCTGAAAATTGAGAAAGCTAAAGCTGTGAAAGACTTGGTAGTGGTCAACCAATTTATGATGGAGAAAAGAATACACAGATTAAGAGCTAATGCTTTTTATGGGCTCTTAAAGGAAAACAAAGAAAATGAGGTTACTTTCTGTTTTGATCTCCAGCAAATTCAAGCACTTCCCAAAACTCCTATTCAAGAAGCGTTCTACAAAAGACAATTAAGTTTTTACTCTTTTTGCATTGTAGCATCAAACGCACAAAACCCCGTATTTTACGTATGGACTGAAGAACTTGCAGGAAGGGGTGCGACCGAAGTTTCATCTGCACTTATAAATTTCTTGAACTCCGCTAATTTTTCAAATGTAACAAGACTGAATCTGTTCTGTGATGGGTGTGCCGGTCAAAACAAAAACAATGCCGTTGTTCACACATTAGTGTATTACTTAGGATCAGTGCAAAATGCTTTAGAGGAGATTATTCTAACATACCCTGTTCGCGGGCATAGCTTGCTCCCCGCTGATCGGGTGTTCGGAAGGGTTGAAAAGTTACTCAGGAAGCAGCCTACCATTGCAACAAAGGAAGAGTACTACAATGTATATAGTTCTGTTGGAGAAGTACGGAAACTTGGAGAGGATTGGGAATTGATTGATGCTAAAAGTTTGGCTACACGATTTAAAAACATTGAAATGATATCTGAAAAGAAGAGGATTTTTGTGAGGAAAGAGAAAGCTGTCAACCCCAATGGACAAGAACTTACTGTTATCAAAGTGAAATCGGCACAGAATTTTAGGTTTGAAAGTGATTTTGAAACCTACAACAAGCCTCAAAAAAAAGCTGGCATTCTGCAAGGTCGTTCTCAACTCCTGTAGAGTCACTTCCACTGAGCAATATAGTGAAAGCAGCTAAGAAGAAGGACGTGGAAACGTTACTTGTGAAAATGTATAGTGATGACTAGCAGAAACATGACTTTTTATCTTGGTATAAGACCATAATAGTGGAAGTCCAGGACGACGAAATTGATGCTGACGAAGTGGACGAATCCTGTGATTGTCTAGAACTTGACATTGGACTACACATTTAAACATTTATATTTATCATTTTTCAAGATATTTTTTGTAACAATACAATAGATATTTTAAGTAGTCTAAGAGTTTTTTTATCAACCCCTTCTATCAACGTCCATGAAGTCCAATCAAATAAGAACATGTCCTTTTTTTTAAATGTATTTACAGGTTTATTTATACCTTCAGATTTGAAATATTTACTAAGAGTCAGTTAATTTCAATAAATAAAATGATATATGCTAATTTATCCTATTTTTCATGTAAGGTTATTTACTAATACGTTTGTTGCGATTTCCCTAAAACTTCTTAAGGTGGACATGATTGATTTTGATTGACACCTCCTCATATGTATTATGATTTCGCCTATTATTTATAGAAGATAAAACGTTTTTCGTCACTAGGATTAGCATATCTATGAACAAATACATCTCACATTGTCTAAAGGTGCCGATAGAAATGGCATATATGCGTAATACCATAGTTAGTATCTAAAAGTGGAGCTGGCTACAGGCACCGTTAGAATGTTTGAACTGTATTTATACATCTTTTATTTTAGTTTAAAATAATTAAGTTGTGTATTTCAGTCTAGATTTCCAAACTAATTACATACATTCAGAGCAAATTATAAAAAAAATATTTACTTATATCATCCACCATGTTCAAAAATAATTATGTCAGTATTTTGAGTTTTGTAGGTTTTCTAGTAATACGACAGCATGCAGGAGTACGAAAAATATATGTTATATAAATTATTACGAAATGCATGCTTTCATATCTTCCATTAGACAAATAGTGATTTCATACATAAAAACGGAAAACCACATGAAAACTCAAAAGACTCGAGGTAAAGTGTTTTTAAATCAACCCTTTTAGAGTGTATAAAACGATGCACAACAGCAGATGATTACCCAAAATAAAAGCATTACCCAGATTCAGCTATTGATAAAAAATATTACTTTTACCCTAAATTTCCACTCAATTGACTTCCACTTCTCAACATGGAGTTCTTTCTCACTCGAGATGTTCTAAAACAATGTAACAATATTTTTACCTGCGTTCTTTGAAATCACTAATGCACTAATAAATAGTCTAGGGGTAAAAAAATAATAAAAAATAATATCAAAATGTTTTGCCTTGTTTTCACAGAGCGCCGTTAATTCGAAACTAGACAAATGGATTAACCTTTAATAATTAATCTATATTAGGAATTAACGACAATGGTCAGATTACAAATGTTTTATTGACTTTACGACTTTGAGGTCGGAAGTCGTTTTTGAAATGTGGAAGTCGACACAAAATATTTGTAATCTTCTAATTGTGTTTAATATCCCACATATACTAATAAAAGGGTAAAAAGCCACCAGAAGATAGCTTCAAGCCACTAATTTTTTATACAATGTGAGCAAATGTATTGAACGTTTTATTTATTTATTTCGGAAGCGGTTAACATTTTAAATCTTAATCTTCTTTTAAATCAGTTGCTAATATGGCCCACCTTCATTTAAGGCTAATTTATAAACTTTACGTTGGCGTTGTTAGTATTTGTTTATGTTTGTGGTTCCACGTGTTTATAAAGTGGAAGAGTTTAGATAATAACGAGCCTCTCTTCAACAGAAATTCCATCAGTGCGATAGTTTACATTTATTTTTGGTTTTACCATTTGCAGTAATTTTTCAAATACTAGAACCTGTCTTCTGGTATATTTAAAAAACTGCTGGGTATCCCAGTTTTTCATATTTTTATAATAATTAAAATTACCTCTTATTAAAAGCAATGTAGAGACTAGCTGGAGAAAACTTAAGAAAAATATTGTGGATGCTGCCCGAGAAGCCCTTGGAACGAAAATAATAAACAAAAAGTGGACAACGCAAGCGCCATGGTTTACACTAGAGGTTAAACAAAAATGTCACCAAAAAAAGAAAGCTTTCCTAAAATATAAGTCAGAAAAAACGAATTAATCATATGAAGAATATAAAAGAATAAGAAGTGAAACTCATCAATTGGTAAGAAAAACAAAAACAGATTACTGGGCAAGATTCACAAAAGAACTAGAGATGGATTTCTATGGATAACAGAAATAAGTATGGCGCTTCATAAGACAAAAAAAAAGTTTGCGAAAAGACCATTGCAATATCATATATTTGGACGAATCGTGGGTTAATGTTGGCCAATCTATAAATTAGAATGGTGCGATACTACGATACAAAACAGTCGTGATGCTTTTTTCAAAGGTTTAAGTACTGGCTTAAAAGCACCTACTAAACGAGGTCCACCATATGTTTTATTGCATGCAGGGTTTTCAGGAGGTTTCCTTCCTGGCACACAGCGTGTTTTTCTGGCAAAGAAAAATGATGGCGACTATCACGATGAAATGGATGCCGCATATTTTGAGTCGTGGTTTAAGGAGACATTAATATCAAATTTACCAAATAATGGTCGCAGGAATGTCATTGTAATGGACAATGCATCGTACCACTCCCATAAAGAGTGATTCCCTAATAATTCCTGGAATAAAGCTGCAATCAAGGAATGGCTAGTGGAAAAAGACATTTTTTACAACACATCGAAAGAATGACAGAAAATAGAATAGTACGAATAGCAAGAGAGAAATCGCCAAATGGAAGAAGATCATTGGGACGACCGAGGAAAAGATAATCAGACAACGTCAATTGAGGCTAAAAACCGAAGTAAAACAGGCATTAAGCCTATTTATAAAGTAGGAAGAAGAAAAGAAAAGAAGAAAATTACCTCTTGTCTTTCTGTTCTGGTTAATGGGCCTTCGTTTGTATCGACGTTGTCTTTTATTTCGAAGGCTCAATGCTGCTCGAATACAAAGTATCAGCGTCACTGCACCTAACAAAGGCCGAGCATTTTCATTTTCCATTGTATTAATTTTCAAGCACAAATTAATAATACCAAATCAAAAATGTAAGGTTAGAAATTTAGATGTGATCTTTAACGCCAACGCCAACCGAATGTTTATACATACAGTCTATGATAGTCAGCGCCAAGGTGAACGGCGAACGCCAGCGCCAACGCCAACGTAAGAATAAATCAGCCTTTATTGGTATGTGCGGTGTTGTCAGATCTTACGTTTTTCGGCAAATACAGGAAATACCCTTTTCAAATTAATCAGCATGAATTTTTAATATTTTTACATTATCTAATTAATTCTGGATATTTTTCATGTAATGCTTCCTACAATTAAATGTCAACACTTTCAGAAATAAATTTAACTTAATATTAAATTTTAAATATATCCTTTTGTAATAGATACTAATAAATTAAAAGAACACATCTAAATAATTATACTGACAATCATCAGAAATTTACAAAAAATGCTCCAAATGTTGTCCGGTTCTTTCAGCAAGCTACCGATATTAAAAACTACTTTTAAGAGACTACTGCTTCCTTTATTCTTTGTATTTCTTCTGCTATTCTATCTTTTAATTCTTGAATTCATTTGGTTCTTTTTTCTTTATTCTTATTTACAATGCAAATTTACAATTTACTCCACACTACCTTACACAGAGTAATAAGTAAACAGTTGGTGTTTTAGTAGGCTTGTGTCAGGTACCATTCATCATTGGTCTCCTGTATAGATACAAACTTTGTACCAGTTTGAATCCTGTAAAAACTACTTTGTTGTGGTTTATTTTTAGGAAAATGTACATCCTACCATTTGTCTTAAAACTTCTATTTGTGTCTGTGGTGGTACGTTCAGAATCTAATTGATAGCAATTTCAAAAGCATATACATTTGTTGTTAAGTGACAAATTAACGAAGATTTGTGAAATGGGCTTGAATGTACTAAATAAGTCTTTGCTTGAAAAGGTTAAAAAAATTAAAACTGTGAAATTATTTCCACATAAATCCCAATCAAAGGAATCGGTAACACTTCTGTAGATGCATAGTTTTTATTTGAAAAATCCTACTAAATACTTATGTTTTAACTGAAACACTTTGACAAGTCAAATGTTGAACTTTTAGCAAAAAGATGTTTAGTTAAGTTGCTCATTTCTTTTATGCAATATTACCAAAAAGTAGTAGTACTAAATATATTTTTGGTAATAACCATTTTTGAATAAGAAAAAACATTCGTTATTTGGCTTTTTGGTGTTGATTTGAAACAGATTTTATTATCTGGGACTATTAGAAGTGCCCAAATAAGACTAAAATGAAACTATTTCATTATTACCTAAAATAAGAGAAAAAATAGAAAACAAGTTACTTGACTACTTTCACGAATATAAACCATAAAATAAACAGATGGGAAGACTACATAAAAGAGTTATTCCAAGACGACGAGAAAATTGAGGTCATTAACCTTAACATTAATCACCAAAGACGAAATTGAGAAAACGCTAAGACGTATAAAAAATAAGAACGCCATGGGACCAGATGAAATACCTACAGAAATCTAAGAATATTAACAAAAAATCATATGGGCACACTAATACAATTATTTAATGACATTTATTATACGGAAGAGATTCCAAAAGAATGGTTAATATCAATATTCATTCCAATACCCAAAAAATCAAACGCAGTAAAGTGTGAAGAGCACAACACAATTGGCTTGATGAACCATATTCTAAAAATGTTCTTACGGGTGATACACGAACGTATCTATAAAAAGCTAGATGTAGAATAGCTGAAAATCAATTGGGATTCAGAAAAGAGTTTGACACCAGATAAGAATTATTTACTGTACAAACACTAATCGAACGATGTCGAGATGTCAATTGCGACGTATTCATATGTCTAGTCGACTTTGAAAAAGTACTTTCAATAGAATTTTTCACAACCGTTGCAGATAGAGTGAAATGGACCATGATCATCGCCAATGTCCTTAGTAATGGGGCACGTTAAGACGAAGAATAAACCATTAATTTGAATAATAAATAAGAAACAATAGATAAAACCTCTTACAACCAAAATCAGCAAAATAGTCAATTACTACAAGGTACGGTTATTAAATGATAAAACTGAGGCTGGTAACATAAGAAGTATTAATGCATCAAGAGCCAATGATATGAAAGCTGTTTAGGCAACTTCTCTTTCGATTACAGTATCTCCAATTTCTGTATATGTTTAAGCCGGAAAATCATGATCATGAAAAGAGCAACGAATTGGTATACAATTCCACTTTAAAACTAAACAAGATCGCTACTGAATTATACCCAAAACTATAATTTATAGCAAGAAATGTTTATCGCATGTACGTGTTCTTGGGGGGTTTAAACGTTTTCAAGAGCGTTAGAAGTTTGAACAGAATTCATGTCCAGATCACGTAAAGAACACCAGGTTAGATTCAGACGAAGGGGGTCTACTAGTGACCAGTTATTCAACGGAAAACAAATCTTAGATAAAAGCTGTGAGCACGATATAGATATCTATAAAATCTTTGTAGATTTTCGACAAGCCTATGACAAATAAACAGATATAAAATATACTTAATTGCGAGAATTTGGTTTATCAAGGCAATTATGAGTCACTTCCAGATAACTAAGGGGCTAAAATGGGGGGATGAGCTGGCTCCGACTCTGTTTAATGCATGTATATAAGAAGAAATTAAGAAAAAAAATGTTTAGCCGAGACCGTAGATAAAACTAAAGCCCTAATACAAGCAAGGGAACAACAAACCTTGCTAAATTTGACAATAGATTCAAATGACATAGCTCACTGGGCGTAAAAAACTGAGGATGCCAGCGATGAGGAGAAAATACGGAGGAGGATAATGTTTGCTAATAGAGCAAATTTCCTTCTGTCGCAGGTGTCACAAGATTCAAAGAGATCCTTAGGGAAATAAAGTTCAAAATATATAAAACCATCATACCACCAATAGCCATATATGGGGCAGAAACATTTAGCATGACAAAAACAATAAAACTTGTTAGTAATTTTGAAAGAAAGGTATTGAGGATATTGGGACCCATTTGCGACGATGTCGTCAATGACCAGACGAGTAGCTAAAGAGATGTAAGTTATAGCCAATAACCACAAGGGTAAGATGAGAGGTTACCCTATAGGTTGGGGTGTTTAGAAGATCATTTGATCAATGATCAGAGGGTCCGAGACTCAGAATCAATGACCGATCCAAGAAGGTGTCCAACAACATTACGCTGTAAGTTTAGTGCAGAACTAATCACATATAACTTTATATATTCTTCTTTTTCGAGTTTGGTTGTACAGGATAATGTTCTTTGAAAGGAAAATAAATTTTTGAGTGAACTTTTTGGGCTTCGTCTAGAGAAAATTGTACATGGGTAAATAAAAACTTAAATAAAAAATCATAAGTTTTTTGAGGAGTTCTGCACTAACATACAGGTTGATGTTTCTTGGAAATCCTCTGGTCATTGACAATCACTTCTTGAGCTTCTTATAAGACCCCTTAGTCATTCACCAAACCTACTTTTAAACACCCTATACAATTATTGGCAAAGAAGAGATAAGCAGTGAGTGCTGCACTTAACATACAGCTCTACCCTCATAACTCTCATAACTCTCATCTCTACCCTTCTGCTAATCGGCTATAGCTTCTTGCACCTCTTCAACTAGCTCTCTGGTCATTGATGACACCTTTTTATACACTTCTTCAGCGAAACAAGGTCAACCGAGACACTTCTGGCCATTGTAATCAGATAACTGGATGGCTACCAAAGTATTTTGGTAACTACATGGTTACAAAAGTGCCAAAGTACCCCGTCAATTATACTACTATTGTGTAAGACAAATAATCGCATATGCGGTAGAAGCGAGAGCAGATACAATAGAAACAAAAAAAAGTACTTATAACCATCAGAAATGAGAGTCTTGAAATCAAGTACTGGGAAAACATTAAGAGACAAAATAATAAACATATAAATGAATAAGAGATCTCTGTAACATCTTGGATATTGTAGGATAGGGAAGATAGAGACAACAGGAGTGAAACCAGCACATCACACGAATAGATAATGAGCTACCAGCCCTAAGAGCAAGTGATTTGAAGTCAACATACAGTAGACCATTAGGAACACTCTTTAAAAGATTGCGAGATAGCTAGCATATAGCAATATAAGAAGAAGATGGAATTGGGTACTTTCATGATGACAAATAATAAGGAAGAAGAGGGGTATATATTGGACAGGATAATAAGTAAATATGTATGAAACTGAAACAACATGTTAACCTCAATTTTCTTATTTAATAACTAACCCATAACTACATGAACAACAAGAACATAACAATAAACCATAAGGAAATTGTGGAGAAAGATATAAAGAAAATATCTAAAAACTAGATGATGGTATTATTTATAACTAGAACAATGAACATAAATATAAACATAAATATAAACTTATCTAGGTGTTCGTCCAAGACATAACTTTTAACTGTGGATTTTTCAAAACCAACTCTTAAAGGATTCTTTTTTGTTCTGTTTTACCAAAAAAATATAACAACTGACTGGGTATTGTCTTGGTGATTTTAATATACGTTCATATACATAATAATAGATATATACTTTTAATTTCATTCATATAAGATCGTTCATCTTAGAAATAGTCACAACTCATGAGAATATAACAGAAAAAATACTTTTTTTATAGACTAATATACAAGAAAGTCTATGTTTAAACATAAAAACCTAAGGAATAATTTTGCTGGTTCAAAATACTGTCTAAGTAGTTACATCCAACAAAAATTGTTACAACACATGACAGTCGACTGTAGTCAGATAGAAATAGTGCTAGTATTACTTTTAAAAATCAAAGCTATACAACTCCTTCACAACACACAAATCCACAATTCAAAAATGATTTTAAAAGAGCATTGAAGCAAACATTAACACTAGTACAATTGTGGTTAAGAGAAAAACGACATGGGGAAGAGAGAGAACGACAATAACAGGGAATAAAGCTTTTTTTTAATAAAAGAAACTAGATTAAATACTAGAAAAATAAACTTCATCGACTTAAGATATTAGTCATTACTAAACTGTACTTAACGACTTTCAGGCAGCAGAAAATAAAACAGTACATGACTGCTGGGATGATGAAAAGCGACACAATTGATCGGACATGCCCTAAGATACACTGCGGTGAAGATAACCACAAAGAAATTCAATACAATAGAAATTTTTTTGGTAATTTCCCTTGGATAGAATAGCAGATGAATTTGGCAATCCTCAAACCACCAGTTTTGATAATTATAAACTATTAATTTTTATAGGTATATAAAACTGTAAAAAAACTTTTTGGTTCTATACCAAAACATATTAAAGAAGTTATAAAATCAAGGAAAGGTATATTTTCTATTATATTAATTTAAACTGCATTCTTTTTGCTTTGTCTATATCACTTCTGTTCACATTAATTTGCACAGTGCCACCCTGTATTTGGCAATACTGTACTACTGTCAATTTTCCATTTTTTTAGTATATGTTACTAACAAAATCATCAAAAATAATATCTATCTTGTTGACCACGATAGTGGACATACAGTTCAATGATAAAGACTTCGAGGGGGTTATAGGTGATGTAATGTAAATATTGTTTTACTTGGCTGTAGATCATAGGTCAAATTAAGATTAACTTATTTGTTGAACATATTCAATTACAGAAATATAAAATATAGTACACAAAGGAACAAAAAGTTACCTCATATCTGAATACTTTGTTATTTCTTAATATTTAAATATGCTTATCTGGGGGCATAACCTTGTATCAGTTGTAATATTGCACTCTCACAATTTTTTACTTTTCTCTTTCAGTTAAATGGTCGGTTTTTATGCAAAAAATTAATTACGATTGTGTGGTATTGCCATCCAATTAGTTTTTCATTTTATCTCTTAATTTTTCATACCTACTCACAAATAAATGCTGAATTATTTAACTTTTTGTCTCCACCCTAATTTTTCTTCCATAATTTAGGTTAATATTGAAACAATGTTTCTCAGTTTCTTTTAGATGCCCATCCCAGTTTTTCTGTCCTCTTTTTATGACCATTCCTTGGTTTGTTGGCTATCTTAGTAATATTAATAAAGAATTCCTAAATAAGAATACGAGGAATATTATACTCATGGAAGAAGACCATCAAGGTGAGAAAATTCACTGTATATATTCAAATTCCTGATTTATTGAATGATACTGTAAATAGATAAAAGGCAAGAATTTCTACCATATAAAATAAGTAGACTCGTATTCCAATGATGCGTAGCAAATAAATAATCAATTCAAGTACCTATAGGAATAAATTGTAAAAAGCACAAAATAGTCTTTTTTCCAACCTTCATTTTTCCACTGGATATAAGCTTCTTCCAATTATTTCCAACTCTTTGTGTTTACTTTGTATAATTGCTCACTATCTGTTATTGGGTCTTCTCACAATTCTTTAGTTTAGACAGCCAAACCAATAGTGTAGTTGTTCATACCTCCACAAGCTGTCACACAATGTCACCTCATTGCCTCATAAGTTTAACCACGCTTTCAAGAATGGTTATTTGGGTGATTCTTTGAATTTCGTTATTTCTGATTCTTAAACTTATTCTCAGCATAGCCGTTTTCACAGGTCGTTGTGTTGTTTTGAATTGATTTGCGGATTTACGTATAAGTAAATCTTCTCTCCACATAGTTTTAGATTTAATGGGATTTTTCAATCCTTGCTATTTTGGCAAAAGCCTCCCAACAATGACCAACTCTTCTATAAACTACTAAAAGCTCTCTTTGTTTTGCAATGATTACCTTGTGTTTAAAGTATATTCAGATACTTTTATCAATTTTTGATTATTAAGTGTATTTAAGATTAATTTTGAACCCTATATTTCTCTGGGTGTCTGCAGCCAGTTGGTTTATTGTATATCGCAATACTTGATGTACTAATTTATCCAATACACTTTTGGTTTTCAATGTTGTTTGTTTATAAAAATGAACACTACTTACATGAATGCCCTTATTTCGCTATTCCAATGTTTTAAAAAGAGATCTTCAAGTAAAATCAACAATTTAGAAGAAATAGTATCAAATTATAATTAAAAAGAGGAATGACACAAGGCTGTATACACCGTCTCTACTATATTCAGAGAACATATTTAAAGAAAACCTTAATGGAGGCAACAAGATATTATTATTGTTGTAACTGTAAACAGTATTAGATATGCATGCCAACGATACCTTAGTGGTGACTGTGGGGAACTTCAGAATCTAATGAACAAAATAAACCAGACCTATGATCAGTATGGATTAGACTTAATGTTAAGAAAACTAAATATATGATAGTTTCTTCAAAATACAGGGGGCTGTGTCATAAATTCACTTTCAAGACTCTATGGAGAAATAATAAAAAATAAAATTGAAAAAGAGATGACAGATGTAAAAAGATAAAATGGCTTTAGTGCAAATAATATTAGCTGTGTAGTTAGTTCCTCTTATTTATCCTCATGTTCATCAAGTCTTTCCATATGTTCCGACTTCAACACTCTAGTAAGTCACAATCAAGTGAGAGTAGTCATTGTTTTATTTTGATCAAATATTGTACCTACAGGTTTTATCTATTCACTTTATATAGAGACAAGCTTCATACCCAAAGAAAACTTAAGCATGAAATAAAAGAGTTAGTGCTAAACAGCTTCCACAACCCACACAATGCAACATCCCAATAGGTAATACCTTCACCTAAAGCTATAATTATTTTCCTTATAATTATCAACATCTTTGATAATTATAAAAGACACTTGTTTCAGTAATGTTTACATTTTTTGGTAAAAATCAGAACAAAAAGATTGATTTAAAAAAGAAGATATTTTAAATGACTGGTTATAAAAACTGAAAAAAAAAATGGTTAGATTCTTTTGCAATATTAAAAGATAAACATAAACAAAAAATTGATTTTAAAATTGAATTCTTTTTCAGCTTTGAACCAGACAAAAAACAGCACTACTCAATGTACCATTTGTAGCAAAAGCTTTTAATAATAAAACTACTTGTTAAAGAAACAAACAAAAACCAAATAATAATCACAAAAATGATCTTACCTTATCCTTTTTATCTTGACGTGCATAAGGGAAACAAGGTATGACTGCTGTCACTCGACTTGCAGAAGCTATTTTACAGGCATTTATCATAATTAACAACTCCATAAGGTTGTCATTTACTTCACCACAACCTGACTGGACAATGTAAACATCTTCACCTCTCACAGACTCTCCAATCTCCACACTGGAAGTACACAAAGAAATATAGATTTGCTAATTTGTTTGAATAATTTTTAATTTAGTAATTAAGATACATTGGCTTTTTAGTGGCATTTACACACTTTTACTGAAGTAGTTGATAAAACACAAAAAGTTTGCAATAATTATCAATATCATGTTAGTTAGTTTAACTTAAAAACATAAGTGGAACATCTTCCTGACACAGCAATAAACTGGAATTAGAAAATTTAGATTTTTTTATCTAGTAGAAAAACACTTTCACAGTACATTTCTGTTTTACAATAATAAAGTGTGCAAGTCTTTATTAACCGTAGAAAGAAGAGATTTCATACATTTTAGACACACCTATTTATTTGTACTTGAATAATTCAGATGGTAATTCCAGTCTCCAAATTCACTTTATTTTACTCAGCTACTTTGTCTTGTTGGCTTTTGTTATGCCAGCAACTTTTCTACTTTGTTTTGGACATTTATTTAAAGTTTATTGCAAAATAGAAGACTGAAACTCCAATTAGGGGAGAAATAAATAATGAAAATAAGGCACTTAAGCAGATTCGGCTAGAAAATTATTGTGGGAACAATTTTAGTGGATTAGAACTTGAAGATAATGAAGAATATTTGAGGACTAAGTAGTTAATATATACATCCAGCGATGACAATTTATGAAAGGAGCAAGAAATAGTTACTTCTTAGAAAATCAATATAATTTTACTATAGTAGATACTATGTAAGAGAGAAAGCAAATGCTGTCAACAATACTTTCCTAGTACAGATGTCAGATATTGTTTTGAGAAATAATAAACAATGCTTTCATGTGTTTCTAGACAAAGTAAAATTGTTCTTGTGTTAAAATACTCTGCATTCAGCAACCTCCTTGACATTTATGAACAAAGTGAAAACACATGACTGTGTATGTATGTTTTCTCAGTGAGAGTTATGTTGCCTTACAACATAGAAGTCAGTCTCTACAGTTAGAAATGTCATAAATCATATTCCAATAAAAATGACTTATTCAAATAGAAATGAATTATCCTGAAAATGATGATTATGTAAAGTTTTTATCTAGTTTTGATGATGTTTTGGTTACTAATGTAAATTTGTTGTTAGGTGATTTTAATTTGCCTTTTTATGGTAATAGGGGCTGTGAAAAATGTGATTTATTAACCAATTTTATTGATATTCATAATCTTACCCAACACAACTCAGTGTATAATCACATGCAAAGAAGGTTGGGTTTAGTATTTTCAAACATTAATGTCAACAATATAATTAAATGCAATGTACCACTTGTTAATGAGGACATATATCATCCTTGTCTTGATTTTATGGTCACATTTAATTTTTTAGATTCAACCAAGAATTGTATTAAAAATTCATTTTTCTATGACTATGCAAAGGGTGATTTTTATCTTTTATATGGCCTCATTCAAGATATGGACTGAACAGAGCTGGAGAGGCGCTTGGATGTGGATGTATGTATGCAGTTGTTTTATGAAAAGCTGCATGCATGCATTGATCAGTCAGTACCCAAGAAACAGTTGAGGAATGTATTAAGAATAACCAATTGCCAATGTTTTTGCAGAATACTTTGGCTCTGTATTTCAAAGATCAAATATTCTCAATAGTACACTAAATCAGGGGAGTTTTTACTTTTCAAAAGTAACAATTGAGAATGTTCTAAAAAGCATTAAAAGACTAAAACAAAAAAAAACCTACAGGTAATGACAATACATCAGCATACATTTTTAAAGGTTGTGCAGAGACTCTTTCTATCCATCTCACACTAATTTTTAATTTGTCCCTTAAACAAAGTAAATTTCCAGATAGCTTAAAGCATGCAGTTATAACACCTATATTTAAATCTGGTAATGCTGGTAACGTTGAGAACTATAAGCCTATATGTGTCATCCATTCAATTGCTAAGATATTTGAGAATGTGTTTTATAACAATATTTTGAATTACTTTGGAGATAGGTTCTGTCCAGAACAACATCTTTCTGATAGGTTAAATCAAGTTAAAGTGGGAACAGTTTATCTAAACCATTTATATCGATTTGCTATATTTATTAACAATTTGCCTCACCATGTGAAGTTTTCAACAAGCCTGCTATTTGCAGATGAGTTTAAGATTTCAAGAAATTTTAAAAACTTCTAAATTTCATGGCAAAATATTCAACACCTTGAGACACATAATTCAAGGAAAAATAGAAGGTAGGAGAAGCATAGGAAGAAGACGCGTTTCCTGGTTGAAGAACTTGAGAGAGTGGTTTGGTTGTAGCTCAAGGCAATTGTTCAGAGCAGCTGACTCAAAGGTCAGAATAGCCATGATGATTGCCAACTTAAAGAACTTAAATTATTTACAAGAACATTATCTAATATCCCGGGATAATAAAATTAAAGAATGTATAAAAATTGCATAATTTTAATAATATCAATATGTAGAAAGGATAGTTTGGATATCAAATCATCCATATCATGGATTTTTTTACAAAATATTACTTTTTGCATAATCTCCTCCAAATTATCTAATTTAAATGTATGTAATTTGTTACATAAATCACACTATTGGTTAGAAATAATGGTAATTAATATTAAAATGTCTTATTTTAGGAGCCCTTTAACTTTAAAATTAGTGTCCTGAAAAATGAAAGGACTGATAAATCTTAACTATTGTCATGGCATTATACAGATGATTATAGAATGATGTTATTCAATTATTTAATTTATTCTAAATTACTATAGAACACAAACAAATAAGTATGTAGTCGAATTAAGAAAGACTTTGCAAAAGTGAATAATTTGGTAGTGGAGGATTGTTTATATCTTAAAAAAAATTAAATGTATGGTTATGTGTGGAACGTGTATTTACAAACTATGAATATCAAGCAATTGATCAATATGAAACAATAGATATAATGAAGATACTTTAATTTATCTAAGTACTGATAGCTAATAAATATAGAAATCTTAAAAAATATATACTGTACCATGTTTCCAAGTTACTGAATTTTTTCGTGACCACTTTTCCCAAATCGATACCGAGTCGGTCTACAATTCTTTGGGCTAAATCTGGATGGGAAGTTCCGCTAAATACTTTAATATTCGGCATTTTTTTCTTTAAAAGTGGTGTCTCTTTAACCAACTCCCGTACTACGTTTTTCTGTACTATTGCGCCAGCCTCTACTTCAAGTTCAAGCGGGTCTTGTAATGATAAAACAGGCATTGTTTTGCTTTTGATATTGGTAGTATTGACGTTACTAAAGCCGGCAGTGTTATCAACATTCATATCAAAAGTTCCCGCCTCTTGAAAGTGGTAAATAACAGTTGTTAAGAAATTAATTTTTCACTTTTATATTTTACTTATTTATGAACTTCCAAAAAGCTGTATACCAAAAATAGATTTCCAATTATAATAAACACTAAACCAAATTAACAATTTTACTAGTATTTGACGTCCGTCATGTTATTTGTTTACAATTGCATTTGAAATTGCGACTGATAGGGAAGTTGATTATTCTCATTGTCATAGACAAATAGACACACAACACACACGCTCCTTAGAGTAATTCTGAATTCATAAGGCAAATAAAAGGAAGTAATATTTTTACTTTGCACCTGTTCATGTCATCAAAGCATAGATAAATAATTGGTTCAAAGTAGGTATATCGAAAAGGTAACATATGCTGCCAAAATGTATAAATGAGTTTAAAATAATTTATATAATGAATCTAATAGTTTAATAGTAACATTATTATTACTGAATGCTATTTAATTCTACACTGCAGTTGTTGGCATTACGTCTTATCGTATCTTTCAAAATTAAAAATGTAAAACAAAATTTATGAAAATTATATTACTTAAGTGACTTATGAGAAGGTCAAATATTGTTTTTCTACCCCTTTAAAGAGCAGTGGTGGCGCGTTCTTAGGGGCCAGAGGTGCTGGGCCCCACCAAAAAAATATGTAGTAGGTATATGTGTAGATTTTTATTTACAATAATATTTTATATAAATATGCAATACCTGAATAATTTATTTGCTCATATATATATATATATATATATATATATATATATATATATATATATATATATATATAATATATATATATATATATATATATATATATATATATATATATATATATATATCCTTATCCCAGGCAGGCCATATAAACAGTTTATGAACCCGTTTATTTCGGTGTAATAACGTCAATTTAAAATGAACAAAGTAGACCATTTATTACCAAGTCCTTTTCATACGTTAATCAGAGAAAAAGATTGAAATTAGACGATTAGGTGCGTATCAACCAAATGACTTTACATTTACACAACTAGATGATAATATGAGTATGGTCTAATTAGTGAATCAGAAAAGTAGTTAAACACCGGAGATATAACAACTTATCAAGAAAAACCAAATTAAAGTGTCAAATGTATAAAACTATTATAAAGCCAGGTTTAACATACGGATCAAAGACATGGACATTGTTAAATAACAACGAAAGACGGTTTGTATTTGATATTGGTGAGAACAATGTTGTCGGGAACAGACAACATCAATTCGAACTCTACATTGCTGGCATCAGGAATTAATCATCTGGCAATTACTCTGGATGACCCATGTGGATAGCTCTGATGCAGGGAAACGAAATATCTAGAAACTAACTGAAAACGCGTTTTCGTTATACGGGGAACATGAATAGTTTTTAAATAAGTCGCTTTATAAAATAATAGTAATAATAATAAATAAATAAAAATATGTATATTTTGGTTTTTCTACACACGCTGTTTATTAGCTGTTTATCAGACCGTCAAATCTAATGACTACATAGAAAATGTTTATATAACAATGGCATACATAATAGATTTTAAAATCGGAATGCGCGCAGGGCTGTATTTGGCTTCATGATGATACCCTTAAACTGACCGAGTTTCACCACCCCCATTCCCAAGAAAGACTTCTTTCATCAAAGCAGTTTGTAGTCGGAATCGAAAGACACATTCGTAACAATGGCGATATTCGTGTAGACATCTTGAAGATAATGGTGCCTGAGGTAAGTTGAAATGCCTATCACCGACGTATCTTCAAACTTCTCACCAAATACTGCACCGTATGGCAGCACTCATCGATGAAGATTATTTCTGTACGTTTCTATGAGATTTTGAGCTCAAAATTCTTCTACTTTTCTTGAAAATTTTACGATTTGTTTTAGGAAATTAAATTTATCTTAGTACTCATTGAATGCATGCTGTATTGACTACCGATATACAAGGTTAATTTACAATACATACAAGAACGCAACTATCCCGGTAAAACTACATGAAAACACGGATCACATCCCAATCGGCAGAGGAGTCCGACAGGGTGATACCTTATCGTCCAAACTGTTTACCGCAGTATTAGAATATGCTTGTAAAAAACTTAACTGAGAAGAGAAAGGCCTGAACATTGACGGTAGAAGATTAACAAATTTGAAATTCGCAGACGACATATTTTCGTCCTCGCACAACCTCAAGAAGATATGTACAATGCTACATGAACTTCAGTTAGTGTGTGCCAGTGTGGGTCTTAAAATAAACATATCCAAAACAAAATTCATGACAAACCTAGTACCTAGCGGAAATATCAATATTGGAGACAACGAAGTAGAGCTGGTGGAAAAATACATATAACTTGGACACGAAATAAAGATCACAAGAGACAACCAAACGTGCGAACTATTACCTATTGTGCCCGATACCTATTGTGCCGAAACTTCGACATTGACAGCTTCAAGTTCTAAAACGCTGCCAATAGCTCAGAGAAAAATGGAAAGATCAATGCTGAGCATATCGCTTCGTAGCCGAGTTAGAAATGAAGACTTAAGACGAAGAACAGGAATTACCTATGTAATTTTCCAAATTGCCACACTAAAATGGAACTGGGCCGGACACGTCGTCCGAATCAGTGATGAAAGGTGGACGAAGAGATTGCTTAAGTGGAGGCCAAGAATAGACAAAAGAAGTAGAGGAAGACCCCTTACACGTTGGACTGACGATCTCAGGAACATGTCAAGACATTGGATGAAAAGTGTTCCAGACAGAGCACAAATGAACAAAAATGAGGGAGGTCTATGTCCAGCAGTGGACGCAAAGGGCTGCATGATGATGATAATAACTCATTGAATGACGTTACCTTCTTTTAAATTCAAATATGAATTGATCAATGATCACTAAAAAGTTATTGATTTTAATATATTCTTTGCCATCAAGTTACTGATCCAGCTCCTCCGTCATCATATTTTGTATTTGTTTTGAGAATACCGTTACAATCTTTTTAGTAACATTTATTTTCAACAATTTTAAAAGTAAGTATTTTAAGAGTATTTTTTGGATAATTTATTAAGGCGGTATAAAATTGTGCTCCAAAACAAACTACGAAGTATGTCTCAAATCTTTTTTAACTTATTAAAAATTCATACAGCTTTGAATCTTTTGGTGGCTTTTTTTGCGGAGTATTTTTGAATCTACCCTGTTGGGAGCAATGCTTCTTATTTTCGGCGTTTTTCCATTCTAACTCCATTTTTAGTGTTAAATTTTTAGCATTGTTTTTTCCGAACTTGCACCCTTTTAGAGAATTCTTTGGTAATAATGATCCTAGAAAGATGTATGCTATATTAAATAAAAGAAGACACGATGAGAATTATAAGAAAAGAAAAATAAAGATTAGGTTTTATTAATTTCTTTTCTGCTGTTTCTAGTTCCCCTTTCAGAAGAAATCATGATCGTAAGAACAAAATAGAAGCTGCTGTTATTTAAGAGAGGAAGACTATTTAAAAATGACAACCACTACATAATGCTGTGTGCAGAAAATAAAACTTAGAAATCTGCATACTCATACTGCTACAAATGACTAATGTTATATAATACTATATGCAAAAAATATAGCTATATATATATATCATCAACGCAGAAAAAAGTTAAATGGTGTATGCTACATGTAAGGTATAGAATGTTTCATATAAAAATGCTTGCACGTAATTCAAGATTTACGACGTCAGAACCCACAGCGTTGTCAAAACATCAGATTAGTTATTAAGTGAGGAATTTTTAAAATGTCAACTATTTGTCAAACTATTACATTAACAGTACTTAAATATACTTAGTTTTAAAACTACTGCAACACACTGAAATACATAAGAAAACATTTTAATACAAAATTATTTTTCTCAATTTTAAACTTACCTATTTTAAAGCATTAATAGCAAAAACGTCCCTCCATTATTTATTGTTCAAAATAATCCATTTTATATGAAAGCTTATTAGCTTTCTACAGACTATTATATTTAGTTGTTTTGGCATAGCACAATCACAGTACACAACAAAATTAGTTTTAAAGCTATTAATCTAAATTTAATATGTAATTTATAAATACAATTTATTAATATATAATATATTATTATCAAATTGTGTAAGAAATCAAAACGTAAACAAAATTCTTACTCTAAAAAAGCGGCAACACTTTATACAATTTTGCCACAGGCTGAAATGTCATTAAAATTTGAAGTATTCCCTATCAGTTGTTTACGATTGTCTAATCTATTTAATTAAAATTATTATTTTGTCGAATATTAGACTTAAAGAGTTATTTCATAAAATTTATATTATTAATAATAACAAATGTTTTTGGTTATTTAATCAATATAATTCTAAAATTCCCAATATAATGATGATTACATTTTTCTGATTATTACACCATGTTGACGCCTATGAAAGACCGAGCAGTTCCGTATGGGTTTCGTATTTTTAGCTGTGTTAGAAAAATTTTGACTCTAAGGTTGCCGTTCTGGAAATTTTAAATACAAGCATCGAGCAAAAAGACAAAAGAGGAAATGTAAGGTAGTGGGGGCAAAAATATTGTTAGACTGGAAGTGCCATCTTGAGAGGCCACATTAAACAAGGAAAGAGAGTCTTTCCTTGTTTAAGAAATCAAATTTAGTTGGGTTATGTTATTTTTTGTCCCAACTGTCACACGAAATCTTATTTATAATGAAGTTTATTAATAATTATGTCGCATTTTAGACTTTTGTCATTTATATTTATTTAAAGTTTCTCGTCTAAGACACATTCTGAAAACTATTTTATAGCTACTGTTAATAAGTGTCGAAAAATTTAAATTTAGCACATTCGCATTTCCGGATATGTCCGCCATCAGAGGCCACTTTTTTGGTCTCCTTTTCATAACGATTAGATTCCCTCTTTTGTCTTTTTGCTCGATGAATATAAGTGATGCATCCAGCAAAAAGACATGTCTTTTTGCTCGATGAAGTGATGTCACTGTATCTAAATTGTGACGTACAACGTTTTTACTTTGAAAAATGGTATAGCTAACATACCGGTACGTAGAGAGAGGCTTTCCATTTGAATCATCGAGCACTTATTGCTCGATGATTTACGAGAGGCTAATTGCCACCTTGAATTCCATCTTCTCATTGGACGACTGAATGACATTTTTGACATCAGTTAGTGAGGTTAGGTAATAGTAATCAGTTCAGTATGTTCTATCTTTTTATTCGACGATTTTGTCACGTGACCTATTGAAGTTATGCTTAAATTGTTTAGGAAAAAAATATATGAAAATGAAAAATGATATTTCCTTGAGTTATAGAAATAGCAGGTCGCCGGTTAGATTACATCAATCGGGCTGCAGCAAAGTGTTGAATAAATATTATACTTAAAGATTATAGAGAGAAGCTGTGTTACTTATTTTTTTTTAATGCATTTGATTGCCCAATACAAGGGCCATCTACATCAACAACTACCTCAATTGGTAAGAGATTGTTTTATTAGAAAGCTGTTACTTTATGTGTTTTACATGCTGTTTTCCACTACAATCTATAATGAATCTTCAAAGTAGAGGACAAGTTTTATTGGAGAGTACCAACCAAAAATTATTTGTAGAAGGATAAAGACAAACTGTTTATTTTGATTACAGTTTTGATCCAGTTGAACTGTACCAGCCGCTTAATATTGAAGTAGAGAAAATTGCAGAAACAGGTACAAATATTTTATTTTAATGCACTATTTTAATATTTCTTTGACTTTGTCTAAAGACATTTGATAATGTTAACAAAAAATTCTTATCTTACAGGAACAAGTTGACAAACTCTAGCTAAAACTAAAAAGGTTTGTTTTCTCAAATGTAACCGAGGCATGAGAAGTTTGGGACAGGCGCAAATTTACAATCATAGAAGAAAAAAAAAGACAAGAAGTTGTAAAGGGCAATCAATAAGAGCACAGTAAAATGGGAATATTTTAAAATATTATAATCTGACAGATTTGAGGACTTTAGAACAATTTGTAGATAGTTTGTGACAATGTATCATTATCATCATCAGTGGCATCACATCTTTCTTCAGAACAATCCTCCATTGACCCCTGTATCTGACAACTCTTCTCCATTTTCTAATTCCAATAGATTTTAAATTATCCTCTAGGTTGTCTCGATACCTAAATCTTGGTCTTCCTCTGGCTCATTGTCATATCAGCCCTGTTTTGTCAAAAACCTTTCTAACTGTTGCACCTACCTTTTGCCTAATTAAATGCTCTATCCATGTAAGCCTTGCTATATTAATGAATTTTATGTCAGGTTCCCCAAAGCTTCTATAAAACTTCTAAAAAGTTGTAATGTCTGTGTTATAAACATTGTTCTTTGTAGTAGTATCTTTTAGGTGTATTTGTATTGTAGTATGTTTTAGGTTTGATTTAATTTTTGAATTTTTAATTGATTGTAACGTATATAATATATATGGTATAATGCTTATTAAATTATAAACATTTTTATATAACAATTTTATAACACAAAGTTTATGGCAATATTTCTTTTGGCAGTATTTTCTAAGGGTTTTGAACCACTTTGTAATATATTTTAAATTTGTTTCTTTTGACCTTTTTGCAGTTAATGGTAACATACAGGTTTTATGTTTTTTTTTTATTTAACAATATATAAAATGATACCTTAATTGCAAAATATCAATCAAATTCTCTAATGATCAAAATTTAAAATGATCAAGCTGATCTTTTTATTTAAAAATTTTATAATACAAAATTTGCAGTAATAACATTTCTTCATACTCTCTAAGGGGTTTCAAAACTTTTAGGCCAAGTTATAATATATTTTTATTTTATTGTGTCATGTTTGTAGTTAATTGTAACATACATGATGTGTTTGTATTTAACAATATATAAACATTTTTATTTTAAAATGTTATGTTTAAAATAAAAAACACAGTTCGCAACAATATGATATCTTCATATTCTCTATATGGATTTTAAATACTTCCTTTTTTCCCCCATAATCTATGCTGCTGTTGTAATAATCATTACATCATGTTTTTGATTATTCATTACTTTTTACGTAATTATCAACCTTTTGTCTCAATGTAAAAGAGTAAGTAGTTTTCAAGTTATGTATTTGTGTTAAAGGATATGTTTAAAATACATAATCTTATTTTATTGCTATATTCCATTTTCCACTAGTCATAACTAGTCCCTAATAAAGTTATACATTTAGTAAATTCCATTTCAAATGATTTTTGATGTTTGAGTTCATAAAAAATCATAATTATAATTTTTATTATACTAAAACAATTTTCCTTGGTAAATTTTCAGATCTCGAGCTTGTTAATAAAATGATTGGATACAAAAGACAATACCATTGAAAAAAATATTTATTTAGACTACTGTAACAATAAATCAATTTAATACATTGTCAAAGTCACCTCCTTTCATTTCAAAACATTTTTGAATTATACCAGAAAAATTTTCTCCTAACCTTCAGAAATATGTTTGGTTGATAGGGATTAAAGACATTCATGTGAAACAATGTGAACAATAAGATTATGTATATGTGTAACACCACGTAACACTCTATCTCAGTAATGTAGAATATTTTATTTAAGTGTTTTAGGTTAAACCTTATATATTAAAAAATGATGAAATAAATAAATTATGTTTATATTATATTTATTTTTATTTATTACATGTTATCATTATAGGAATATATTGATTGTAAAATTATATCACTAAATTACATTATATTAAAAATCTATATATCACTATATAGGTATTATAAAATTCAGGTTAACAACATGGCTTTGCCGAAGGAAAGTCTACATGCACAAACTTAATACTGTATACTAATTTTATTGCTAATTCAATGGAACATAAGGGTCTCCAGTTGATGCTATCGACACACATCTCTCTAAAGTCTTCCACAGAGTTAACCATGATCTGCTTATTGCTAAATTACAAGGATATGGATATGAAGGTAAAAAAATGAGTGGATAAAAGTAGTTATGTGTCTGGTAGGTGTCAGTATGTAAAATATGGAAATTGTTTATCTCACATATTGTTGAATAAGGTTTCTTACAAATGAAACATTTGTAATATAATAAGACATTTTTAATATAATTTAAAAAAACACAAAATAAACCAAAATGAACGATTGAGTAAATATTTTTAACAGGAGGTTCACAACAACAACAATAAAACACGCAAAAATACTGAATACCTAACCTCAACAGTGTTACCAGTGGCTGGGCATGGAAGGATGCACCTCCCTGTCAAAAATTATGCGATTTTGTACAAAATTATGCGCTCTGTTGTAACCTTACTGTCATCTGTCACGTCCTGTCAGTTGTCATTGTAAAGGCCATATGACACTATGCATTTTCTTGTATCATGTCTTATATCGTTTCTGAAGTTATTTATGTTTTCTTGTATCTAAGTCTTGAATATAAAATTTTCTCGATAAAGTAATTTTTATTTGCTAAAGGTAATGTTGTGTCACAGAAGAAATAACAATTGTTGGTTGAGTTTACCGAAAGTACAAGCTGATTATAGCCACAAATGTCAAACATAGAACAAAAACTTTTTCTATAGCAGTGTTGGCATGTTTTTGTAAATGTAGATGCTGTATACTTCAAATATAAAAATATAAAGCTTTAGAAAAGTACATTTTGTTTATATTATGTTATGAATTCTGCAATTTTTGATTTATATTAAACAACAATGAGTAAATATTTGTTTCTTTGGAGATTTATTGCAGTTAATAATTAGAAATTTTTTTAGCAATTACCCTTTGATAGATTAGAGGATAGATTTGGCAATCGTCAAATCAGCAGTTGCCAGATTACAAAAAAAAATTGCAATTAATCTCAAAAAAGACAAATATCCACTCGTTATTGCTTCATGTAAATTAAAAATTGCAGAATTCATTAAATGGTATAATCAAAATGTACTTTTTAAAAGCTTTATCTCTTTATATTTGAAGCATACAGCATGCGTTATAAAAACATGCCAACATTGCCAAACCGAAATATTTTTGACATTTGCGGCTATATTCAGCTGTAATTTCGGTAAACTCAACCCAATTGTTTATTATTTTGTGGCTGTGTAAAATGTCAGCACAAACGTTTTCTTTTAAAACAAACAAGAAGACGAGTACTCTTCTCGTCTTCTTGTTTGTTTTAAAAGAAAGCAATGACAAGCCAGTAAACTGGCTTGTCATTGGTTTTTTTCTTTGCTGGATTGCGCGAAATTATGTGATTTTATGCAGGATGCAAAAATTATGCGCCGGCAACTAAATTATGCGCAATTCGCATAATTATGCGCCGATTGGCAACACTGAACCTCAATAACTGGTGTCAAAAATGTCATCCAGTCGTCCAATCAGAAGATGGAATCCAAGGTGGTAATTAGCCTCTCGTGATGATTTGAATGCTTGCTTTCAATCTGTGATCACAGAACAGCAAAAAAGTGTCGGTCAGTGACAGTGATAAACTCAAATGTTTTCCGTCAAAAATTTGTCTCTGACCTACGCTATTTATTTGTGTTTGTGTCTGTCTCTGTCTGTCGTCAGAATGAAAAGTCACAAGATTATAGGTTATGTTTAGTTATTTTATCTTTCAAATGTTCGTGATTTTAAAGAAGTTCTCCAGATTAAATAAGAATAAGTTGGTTAAAACTATTTTTGTTAGTATTGTGTTGTTATTTAATCTTTTACCGTGAGATGTTATTCTTGTATTTTCATAACGTTTATTAAAATGTAGTGTCATAAAAGTAATCATTTTAAACGTCTACAATTTAACCTTCATCCATATAACTACTCGAATTTTTTTAAAACGGTAATAAATCATGTTGGAGGGTTTAGTTGCATGGATATTAAACACTTATCTAGGAAAGTATGTTGAGCTAAATACGGACCAACTTAGTATAGCTCTGTTATCAGGTAAGTTGTTGTTAAAGTGTCATCATAAATAAAAACAATATACACTTTTAGGAAAAGTTGAGTTAGAAAATTTGCCGCTTAAAAAAGATGCACTTCGACATTTGGGATTGCCTGTTGAGATTAAAACCGGATTTATTGGTAAAATACAGCTACAGGTACCAGTTAGTCAAATTAGGTCAGCTCCATGGGTCATAGTTATTGAACAACTGTGCTTAGTTGCTACTCCACTTTCTATAGACCAGGTAAATTTACACTTATTACTTTTTAATATATTCAAATTGAATGGTATGTGATTTAGTAATGAATCTATTATCTGTTATACATTGGTTTCTATTGAATTATGAATTTTTTAGTAGAACTTTTATACAAATTGAAAAATATGTTATTTTTATAATAACTAAATGTCTGAAATATTTCAACTAATTAAATTTTATGACTCAATATACTCAGTTTTGAACTACATTAGTTATTAGATTACTATGCCAGCAGATATGTTTGATTACATTTCATTTTTGAAACTATATTTGTCTCATATATCTGAGATTTATTAGCTTATCAGAAATTGAATATATTTTGCTGTTAGGAGTGTTTAATAGCATCTTCTTTACAAGAGGAATATTTGTACTAAATTTCATGACTCTACAGTTTTACATTTAAGAGACCAACATAACAATGCTATTTCCTAAGGACATAGACTTGGGCCAAATGTATGCATCTTAAATTTTACGCTAACACCAGGTTCATATTTTTCCACATCTCAAAAGAGTATATTTTCTAAGACTACTTATAGAAGTTATCTCTTTAAAATGTATCATGCCAATAATTTTATATTATAATTTTTTATAAGGGGTTTTCCACCATACCAGCATTCTTGCTGTTGTTGAAGTAGTTTCTCAATGTCTCTGGGTAATTTCCATTCCAGTTTCAGTCAGCAGAAGAAGCAGTTTTAAGGAAAATAATTGAGGGAAACTTTGAAAATGTTTCGCAAATGATGAAGAAACTTCTTAAAAGAATGATGATAAATTCAAATATTTTTCTCAAATGATTGAAGAAACTTCTTGAAAGAATGATTATATAAAAAAATTTTTTGTTTAAAATCCTTTATAAAAGGTATATAAAAATGCCTCAAACGGGCTATCACAAACACATTGCAAAACGTTTTCCAATATTTTGGTGGCTACTAGCATGTACAACCATTTGCACTGATGATGGATTGTTTAATCCGAAAACGTTTTGCAATGTGTTTGTGATAGCCCGTTTGAGGCATTTTTATATACCTTTTATAAAGGATTTTAAACAAAAAATTTTTTTGTGATATATGGTATACAGCCAGCTACAGGAACTTAGTTTCCTCGTGGAATGATTATATATTTGAAAATGTTTCCAAAAGATTTGATAAAACTTCTCAAATTATTAAGCAGCTAGACAAAACTACAAGAAATTCGAAAATGTTTCTAGAAGATTCGACAAGGCTTGTCAAATATTTAAAGAGTATGTAGACAGAACAATGAGAAGTTTGAAGAAGTTTCTAGAACATTTGATAAGATACAGAATAATGTAGATAATGTAGAAGAGAAGATCAAACAATTAGAGAGCATGATAACCAATATGAAAGTGCTACCACCAAGTAATGCAGTAGTTTTAGATCCTTTAGTGAAAGACAAATCACTGAGAGAAGACACATCATGTGAGATTTAAATTGCTACCATTTGATGTAAAGTATTCTTGGTCCATATACCTTAGACAATTTTAAGCTATTGCAATATCCAATCATTAGACAGAACAAGAAAAGGCTGTTAGTGAGAGCGCCCACCAAAGTGGCGTGGCAGTGGCAAGTAGCAAGTAGCACGTGTCTAGCATAATGTAACCAATGAAAACCAATGATTCAGTTTACACCAAAATGACAGTGACGTCATTCATTCTAATCATTCATTTGGATTGGTTACATTATGCTAGACGCATGCTATTGCCACTGCCACGCCACTTTGGTGGGCGCTCTCACTTACTCTACGAGGTGACGCTGCAGATGTCCTAAGATTGATTCCTAAGGGTCAAGAAAAATGTTACCAGACCTTGTTCACTCAACTAGAAAAACATTATGATGATGCCCATCTACAAGTGTATAAAGTACAAATAAGAAGTACAATTCAAAGAGCAAGTCAGAATTTGCAGCATATGTTGCTCATATAGCACTGTTGGCACCAGACAACATATTGGAAGAAATAGCTGTAGATACCTTCATCAATGGGTTGAGAGACAGTGAATTACAAAAAGCTTTACAACTAGCAAAGCCGAAAGTCTTAGATGAAGCGCTTGTCATTGGCTTGGAACATGAAACAGCTAGTCAAACTTCACGGAGCTATCGAGTATGAACCGCTGAAGAGAGCGACGAACAAAACGATAAACGTTTGGAAGAAATCATACGGAAAGTAGTTTGTAACACGATGGCGAAGAGATGTGAAACCAGATGTTGGAATGGTGGCGATGTAGGTCACACTTGCTGTAAATTGCAAGAAAATAATACAAGAGTCGGAAAAGTAGAACAAATCAAACACAGGGCTGCAAGAGTTCATTCAAATGCTGATGCTCTTTCGAGACAACCTTGCAGTACAAATTGTCACCACTAATTGTCAAACATCGACATTAATGATCAATGGCAGCTTCAACAGCTACAAGATGCCGAAGCAGATGATACATGTATAAAAAGAGTATTGGATTGGATGCATCGAGGTGAGAGACCTTCTTGGCAAGGCATTAGTGCATGTAGTCTCAAAGTCAAGTCCTACTGGAGCCAATGGAATTTACTGGTACTAAAAGATCACCTTCTGTATAGAACTTTGGGAACGATGGTGGTGCAGATGGTCGCCAACATTCGAAATGGATAGGCACTACAAGAAGAATAATACAGAATCTAAGCTTCAGTTGATTGTACCTAAAAGTAAAGTGCCAGAAGTATTACGTCAGTTGTATGACAGTGTCTTAGATGGACACTTTGGTAATACGAAGACTCTACAATAAGTTCAAGAAAGGTTCTATTGGGTGAACTGTAAAGATAATGTAAGAAGATGGTGGTGGAAATATGAACTGTGTGCAACCAGTAATGGCCCAGTTGGAAAAAAGAGGTTTCACACCCATGATACAGTATATTGTTGGTAGTCCTATGAAAAGAGTAGAAATCAATATTGCAGTTCCATTTCCAGAAATGGATGTTGGAAATAAATCAATTCTGATACCTATGGATTATTTTACAAAATGGACTGAGGCCTATGCAATACTAAATCAAGAAGCTATTATACTCCATTAGCATAGTTCGGGCATATTTTGGCAGATTCATTGTCGGAAACCTACAACACAACAATTCCTACTTCTCAGTATTAATAGCTCAAGTATACTACTATTGCAGACTTCTTTCTTTGAAAAAAGAAGAATTATTGTAAATAGTGGAAGTGTATACTAAACCCATTAAATTTTGGGTAGTATATATTTAAAAAATATATTTTAGTTTTTATAATTTAACATAACTATTTATTATATGGTGCAGATAAATAAATATTGATTGTCGGTAATTCGCAAAGTTCTATTTTATTTATCATTTAGTTTGTTTACTATTAATATTGCCTATGAGTATGTGTGCTTGGTTGTATAGTAATTTCCAGCTACTTTTAGTCTGTCAAAAAGTAACTAACTTCACAAAAAAATAATTTTTTGGTGTTCCCTTGGAGATCCATTCCGACCAAGGACGAAACTTTGAGTCAACTCTCTTCCAACATGTTTGTAAATTGATTGTTGTCAATAAGATCAGAATGACAGTCATGCATCCTCAATAAGATGGAATGGTTGAGTTGATGAAGTGAATGATAGGTAAACACTTGTCCAAAGTTGTATTTGAACACCATAGAGATTGGGACCTGCACATTCATTTATTCCTGATGACTTAACGCTCGGCCGTGAATGGAACTACAGGTCGGACCCCACCTTGCCTGATGTTGGGCCGTGAAGTTCGTTTGCACTGTGATATAGAGTTTGGACACATACCTTGCAAAGAACATGTTGCAGACAACACATTCAGATAGCCAGTGACAAGATGAAAGATCAATATGATTCTCAATGCCTTACCAAAGATAGGCCATGCACTAGAAAATCTGGATTGGAATATTATCGGAAGCATGCTTGAAGTGATCTTCCGTAAGAATTGCTGAAATTAACCAGAAGAGATTGTGTCCTTCACAGACAGTGCACTGTTATTTCTTCCTGAGGAGTTTAGACAGAGTTGGAGAGTTCTGTATATTTCGCCATCCTGGGCCTTCATGTAAAATTGCTGATCGAGACATTCAATTCTAAGAGGGAAGCAGTGTAACAAAATAGTGTTCCTCTGACTTAGCACGTGTTACAATTCTAAGAAGGATGACTCCAGAATATACGATTACAGACGTTATCAATAGCGGTCCTGCCTTTGAGAAGCTACCGACGCGACAAATAGAGATGGACTACTTCAGATGGTTGTAGAAGTAATGCTTTCACTATATATATAGGGGAGCTATATATATAGTGAATTCGGGTTCCGAAATGGAATGGGTACTCGAGAAGGACTATTTGCCATCAACATATTAATTCAGCGATGTCGGGATGTGAATGTTGATCTACACTTGTGCTTCGTTGACTACGAAAAAGCTTTCGATAAAGTAAGACATGAAAAACCAATATCAATACTTATGAACAAGCGCATTGACAGTAAAATCATAAATATAGTGCAAACATTATATTGGAACCAAAGTGCCATAGTTCAAATTGATGGGCAACACTCAGAAGAAATGAGGATCTGTAGAGGAGTTAGACAGGGATGTGTGTTATCACCACTTTTGTTTAACTTATATTCTGAAGAAATTTTCCAAAACACGCTCAATAATATCGAAGCGGGAGTCACCGTTAACGGAAAATTAATTAATAATTTAAGATATGCAGACGACACTGTGATCATAGCAACGAGTATAGAGGATCTACAACATCTTATCGAAAGCTTGAGTATAAATAGTGCTGAGATGGGAATTACTATAAACGCCAAAAAAACGAAGTACATGCTGATTACAAAAAGGCCACAAAATATACATCACCTATTGACAATAAATGGTAACGTGATAGAACAAGTAGAAAAATATCAGTATTTGGGAACTTTGATCAATGAAACCAATGATCATATTGTAGAAATAAACAGACGAATAGAGATTGCCAGATCAGCATTTAT